TAATTATGGTGTCGGCAGGCTGCAGGTTTCAGCATGTTGATGGTGGAGACAGTTGGCGGGGGTCAGAGTGACACTGCCGTGGCGGAGCTTGTGGATATGTTGGTGCTAGTTCTTCCCCCATCAGGGGGGGACGAGCTTCAAGGACTGAAGAAAGGTGAGTCCGTGCTATGTGTTTCGCCGCTGTACACATCCAATCCTTCGTTTTTTGTGTTTCTTTCCTTCGGCAATTCCGTGGATGGTTTTTTAACTTCTTCTTTTTTTTTTTTAATCTTTCGTCAAGGGTAACAGGAGTAGGCTGGAGGAATCTCTCCCCATCCCACTCCTGCATAAGTCATGTTGCGAGCTAGCTATCTCCTCTTCTTCCCTTCTCTTCTCGTTTTTATCTCATTAAGTCTTTTTCTTTTTCTCTTCTTTTCTTTCTTTTCTTTCTCTTCTTTTTCTTTTCTTTCTCTTCTTTTCTTTCTTTTCTTTCTCTTCTTTTCTTTCTTTTCTTTCTCTTCTTTCCTTTCTTTCCTTTCTGTTCTCTTTCTGTTCTTTTCTTTCTTTTCTTTCTGTTCTTTTTCTCTTCTTTTCTTTCTTTTTCTGTTTTGATAGCCTTGTACATGTCTGGAGCTGCCAACAAATTATTGCATCGCTGAAGGTTACATACCTCAATTAAAGGATGGATATGGTTGCGGGCCTGGATCGGCTTTGGTTCCCTCTCTACGTGTTTGGATTGGCCTTGGTCCTCTTTTGGCTATGTTGGGCCTGATTATGCCCATAACTGAGTTGTTGAAGGATGGATATGGTGGTTGCTCTCAGAACGATGAAGGCTACTGTTGTCCTGTCCTGTCCTGTCTGCTGCTGTCTCAGCCGAGTTCCGAGGCATACATCAGCATGCATGAAAGGATGTCAAAGGCTTCATCCCTCAAGCTCTCAAAGTTTAGACTTTAAATGCTTCAAGAGTTTGCAAGCGTCATCCTTTGTTCCTAATTGGAAAGTACTTATTGAAAACTCCTCATTGGAAAGTCGTCGTCGTCAATGGATGTGGTCTCCTTGTGATTCTAAACCTCATAAAGTGTTCCAGAGAAAGTTCTTTGGTGTAGAGACTACTGTTTGCGTTCAATCATGTGGATGCGTGCAAATGGTGAATTTTGAGTAGGGGGGATAAGTCTCAGGCTCCTCTTCATTGCAGGTCCTTGTGTGCAAAGTAGGCCTTTCGTTTTTTTTTTTTGTGGGGGGGGTGGAAGCTGGGGGGAAGGTGAGGGGGGAGGGGCAGCTCTGTTTCAGGAATTTCGCTGCCTTTTCCCTGGCTGCATGGTTGGGACTGTATGTGGAGTTTATTTCCGTCCTTGTGCAGTCATCTGCAGGTTGCAGTACTCAGAGGTCTCCCTGCATCCATTTACAGCCAGCAGTTTGGCCCGTCCTTTTTTGGTTGGGGGAGGGGTGCGGAGGGGGACGGTTTGCTACATGATTCCATCCTTTTCCCAGAATTTTGACAGTATCCAAGGTTGATTTCCATCCCCGTGCAGTCATCTGCAGGGTGCAGTCCTGAGAGGGGTCTCCCTTGCACCCATTCACTGCCTTGAATAATCCTTACAAGTCGCCTCCGGGAGCTCCGGGAGCTGACGATGGGTCTTGAATAATCCACATCCACCTTCGTCAGACCCATCGTCAGGAACTGTAAGGATTATTCAGAGAGTGAGAGGGGTCATAGTCAGCCTGCAGATCCGGGAGCTCTGTGTGCAGCTCTTCACAGTGTGACATGCCTTCCTATCTGAACCTCAGATGATATGTACATGCACTTCATACATGTAAGGGATTGGTTTGCTTCTCTCTCTCTCTGCCTCTCTCTCTCTGTCTCTCTGTCGCTCACTTTCTCGCTGCGCCTGGGGGCAAAACGGTTTTGGTGAAGACAATAAAGTAATCGATGAATTGTATAAATCAATCAATCAATTTGATCAGTTGATGGATAAATCATTGAGTAGGAGTTGAAGACAGGTAGACAGCAGTTGATGGAATCGATCAAATTAATCGACCTTGTAATCAAGTGTAGGTTTTGCGAGGTTCCTTTGAATCTCTCCTCAACTTTGAGGGAGGGACATTAGATGTTAATCAATCGATGAATCAACCAACCAACGAATCAATGAATCAATCAACCAACCAATCAATGAATCAATTAACCAACCAGTCAATAGATAAAAGAATTGAGTTGTTTTATGTATACAATATTTGATTTATTGAATTTTTTCCCCCTAATGTATATGTACAATGTATATTCTTAATGTATAACCAACCAACCAATCAATCGATCAATCAATCAAGTACTGTTTGTGTGAAGCACTGTCCTGTAATTGATTCATTTATACATACTTCTAGAAGTTTTGCGGCAAGTTTTTAAGATGCTTTGAATCCATTGTTCTGCAGGGATAGTGGAGGTGGCAGATCTACTGGTTGTGAACAAAGCAGATGGTGAAACTGCAAAAGCCGCCCTCGCAACTGTTCGGGAGTACAAAAGCGCGTTACATTTCTTAAGGCCATCCTCAGACACATGGGTTCCTCCGGTAAGACTCAATTAATTTTCTTCGATAAAAAAAAAGAGTGAATTCCCTTGCCTTGTGACCATCGATGCGTGTATGCTCGACTGCCATCGACTGGCAATCAATCATATTGAAGTTGTAGAACGTGTCATAAAAGTTTCGTAGTTGTAATTGTTAATCGTATTGTTGAACATTCTCACGACAAAATTGAATTGTGAATTAATTTGGCACTCTTACTTTCAGCTGGCTGCTGCTGTATCGGGCTTCTTATGTATGTACCTCCCCCCCGCTGGCCCCCTTACCCCCCTCCCCCCTCCGTCCTCTGGTGTGTTTCGTCTGTCGTACACTTGTTCTTCCGGAGTCGTGGAGTCTATCAAGCAATTCAAGATCTGCTGAGGAGACTAGCTGGAAATTCTGAGGGATCTTTCAGCTGCCAACCTAGCGTAATTATATTATTATAAATAATTTCTTGGGGTAATTTCTTGGGGTTTTCTCTCTCGGAGGTGGTTTTTTTTTTTTTTTTTGGTGTATTTTTCCCACCGACCTGCATCTCCTTCACCCCAAGCAAGGATTCTCTCTGACGCTTCTTCTGGAGCATCTCATGGTGTGCATATGGCTTGGCTTTGAAGCCATATGTGCGTGCGACTTTTACCTCCCTCGTATGCCCTCGACTTTCACCTCCCTCGTATGCGCTCTTCTGAGAGTATATATATGTTCTATACACGTTCTGTTACTTCTGTACTTGTTCTATACACGTACTATACACTTTCTAGTTTTATACACGTTCCATACACGTTCTATACATGTTCTTGTGATTTTTATTTATCTGAACATACAGACGCATGTGTGACATAGTATCTGTGCTTCAGATATAGAGACTGTCCCACACTGACTGCAAAATCTGATAAGCTTATTTCATAGCACACACAGTATGCTTCAAATAGTATCTACGCTTTGTGGGAGTGTCCCACAAATTATGCTGCGATTATCTGACAGGCTTCGGTAGTGTGAGCCGCCTGACCTGGCCCTTTGATATGATAGATATCATATATATATCCTTACAATATTTGAGCCAGTGTCTTCGCCATGAAAAAGCGATGTCCTATACCCCTAGACGAAAAGGACGAATGAATGTGCTTGTAGACTCGTAGCTCAATTTGATAGAGCACCACACTACGGATTTGGGGGTTGAGAGTTCAAGTCTTTCCAAGCATGGGCCTATAACTCAACTCAGTTGGTGAGAGTATACGCCTGATAGTGTGAAGCATGGGCCTATAACTCAGTTGGTTAGAGTATGCGCCTGATAATTGTGAAGTCAGTAGCTCAAATATTCTGGAAGCTTCACAGAGTATCTGTGCTTTAGAGATAGGGAGAGACCCGCACAGATCAGTGGGATATAAGAACAACTTACCCAGAGGACAATTTGAACAGAATCGACTCACACACAGAGGAGAGGGATTTGTGCATGGGAGAAATACTCCCTGCTTGGAATACACACACAAAGAGGGGAGGGTGAGGAAGAAAAAGAACCAAGGACGACGCCTGGGGTAGTAAATCAATCTCCCACTGTTCTTGAACAACCGCCTTCTCCTACAAATCGCCTTTAGCAATGCAAGGAATCAGATCTCTGTCTAAGAGGGCAGCACTCTGAAAAAAAAGGAAAACTGAAAATGTCTCTCTCTCTCTCTCTCTCTCTCTCTCTCTCTCTCTCTCTCTCTCTCTCTCTC